AACCCTCTGCACATCCCATTTTTGTGGAAAAGTGGGCCCATTTTTGGCCTCCCAAACTCCCCACATGTCCCATTTTTTCCTTCCCCGGCCCCCAGGAGCACTCTGCAGGCCACCCAAACCCTCTGTGCATCCCATTTTTGTTAAAAATGGGCCCATCTTTGACAAAAACATGACATGTGGGAGGGGAGTTTCGGGAAGCCAAAAACAGGGCCGTATTCTGTCTATAAGACACACCGACATTTCCACCCACTTTTTTTTTGGGGGGGAAGTGCGTCTTATAGTCCGAAAAATACGGTAAGTGAATTGCTGCATTTGTTATGTTAGTAAGAAGGCTGTTGAATGAATCTGGCTTCCCCGTTGATTTTCTTGTCAGAAGGTCGCAGAAGGGGATCGCTGCAACCGTCATAAATATGTGCCAATTTCCAAACATCCAAATTTTGATCATGTGACCATGGGGAGGATGCTGCAAAGGGACGTAAGTGTGAAAAACGATCGTCAACTTTTTTGAGTCACACTAAATGAATGGTTGTTGAGGACTGCTTATATCAGTTTGAACCAATGGTGAAATCCAAATTTTTTTACTACCGGTTCTGTGGGCGTGGCTTGGTGGATGTGGCAGGGGAAGGATATTGCATGTGATCAAAATTCAGATTCTTGGCAACGGACTCATCTTTACGACGGGGTTGCAGTGTCCCAAAATCACGTGATTCCCTTCTAACCGGCAAAGTCAGATTCACTTAACAACCGTGTCACTAAAGGTAACCCCGGCAGCGATTCACTGAACAACGGTGCGGCAAGCAAGGTTGTAAAAAATGAGACAAAACGCACTTTTAACCGCTGTCTCGCTTAGCAACAGAAATTTTGGTCGTAAGCCGAGGACGACCCGTATTTCATCACCAATGGCTTTGACCGTGGTGTGCCGGGCTTCACAAGAGATGCTAAATCATCAAGCTATGGTTTACCAACCAGACTGGCTAAAGTTCAAATAACACACTTAGGCGAAACTGAACTGACTGCATTTTTTTCCCCCCCGCATTTGTGCGAAAGCCAGAAGGCCAATCGTCCATGCAAAGTTGCAAAGTTGGCAACGGCGGGTGAGAATTTCACAATTTTACCCGCAGCCTTTTTTTTTTTTTTTTTGAACCTCGGCGATTGGTTCCGCAAACAACTTACCAGGATATCAGCCTAAAATATAGCCTTGGCTGGCATCGAGAACGACTAATTATAGCCAAAAATATGTTTACAGTTATTCTGATCTTAATTGGGTTTTTTTTCCTTCCCCTATCGACCATCAGATAATTGCTCATTGCTGCCCCCTGCTGGCTCCGTGGGAAAACAAAGCAGGAGGGATGTATGGATTGCTGGCAGCCGCGGGAAAATGCTATTTTAAGCCCTTAAGAAATACCTTGCCTGGTTTTTTAAAAAGTTGAGCTTGGCGCGGAAAATTAATTCTGGGCCAAAGAAATAAAATAAAATCAAGTGTCATGAGACTCTAGAAAGAGTTTCAGAGAAGAGCAACGAAGATGATTAGAGGGATTGGAGGCTGAAACATGAAGAACGGTTGCAGGAACTGGGTATGTCTAGTTTAATGAAAAGAAGGACTAGGGGGAGACATGATAGCAGTCTTCCAATATCTCAGGGGCTGCCACAAAGAAGAGGGAGTCAAGCTGTTCTCCAAAGCACCTGAAGGCAGGACAAGAAGCAATGGGTGGAAACTAATCAAGGAGAGAAGCAACCTAGAACTAAGGAGAAATTTCCTAAAAGTTAGAACAATTAAATCAGTGGAACAACTTGCCTCCAGAAGTTGTGAATGCTCCAACACTGGAAGTTTTTAAGAAGATGTTGGATACCCATTTGTCTGAAGTGGTGTAGGGTTTCCTGCCTAAGCAGGGGGTTAGACTAGAAGACCTCCAAGGTCCCTTCCAACTCTGTTATTCTATTCTATTCTATTCTATTCTATTCTATTCTATTCTATTCTATTCTATTCTATTCTATTCTATTCTATTCTATTCTATTCTATTCTTTATTCTACTCTACTCTACTCTACTCTACATCTTTGTCTCTAGATGACCAAAGAAATATGTCTGCACCAATGGATCAGCATTATGGATCAGCATATGCATCAAGACAAATTCCTTGTGTGCCAATCACACTTGGCCAATAAAAAATTCAATTCAATTCAATTCAATTCAATTCAATTCTATTCTATTCTATTCTATTCTATTCTATTCTATTCTATTCTATTCTATTCTATTCTATAGCCTTGGTGGTGCAGCAGACTAAAGCGCTGTTAAGCAACATCAGCTGCCTGCAATTACTGCAAGTTCAAATCTCACCAGGCTCAAGGTTGACTCAGCCTTCTATCCTTTCGAGGTAGGTAAAATGAGGACCCGGTTTGTGGGGGAAATAAGCTGACTTTGTATTAAAAAAGAACACTGCTTGGGGGCGGGGGCCAAAGTCCTACTAAGCTGGTATATACAAAAGTATGAAGGCTATTGCTTAACGCATTGTAAGCTGCCCTGAGTCTCCGGAGAAGGGCGGCATATAAATCGAACCAATAAATAAATAATTAATATTCTATTCTATTCTATTCTATTCTATTCTATTCTATTCTATTCTATTCTATTCTATTCTTTTCTTTTCTATTCTACTCTACTCTACTCTACTCTACTCTACTCTACTCTACTCTACTCTACTCGGCATGGAAGGGGAATTTCCCTTTGGGTCCCTTAGCAAAACCTTTGCTGCCTTTCTGCCTGTTGCACAGATAGGCAGGCTAAAGGACAAGGGGCAATAATAAACCTTAACAGAGAGATTCAAGGAGAAGGATCAGGTTTGCACCTTAAAAGAAGGAGGCACGCTCTGAATCGATCGCGTTAATTGAGCGGTAAACGACTGTTCTACGATTGCTTTGCAAGAGCTTTTGCAGGAGACGGAATACGGGTTTCTGATAATGGCATTGAAGCCACCTGTTAGCTGCATGTTTAGCCGGTGGTTTTTTTTTTCAAACTTGAAAACTTTTTAAGACGTGTGGGAGACTTCAACTCCCAGAATTCCCCCCACAATTCAGCGCGACTGGGGTACAGCGGGGAAGGAAGAGACGGGGTACAGATTAATGGAGTCAGAAGGGACCTTTAAGGTCATCTAGTCCAACCCCCCCTCCTCGCCCAAGCAGGAGACCCTACCTACCTACCACCATTTCTGACAAAAGGCCAGCCCAATCTCTTCTTGAAAGCCTCCACAAGGGATGGAAGCTCCCGCAATTTAGACACTGAGCTTGTTGATGAGAAAGGTTCGGCAGTTGGAATCCCTAGTACGGGTCTCCTGCGTGAGCCGGGGGTTGGTTTAGATGACCTCTAAGGTCCCATTCAACTCTTGTTACTGTGAAAACTTCCGAAGGAAAAGAGAAGCCGGCTCACACAACCCATAACAGCCCCGGACGCCCCCCCCCCCCCCCCCCCCCCCTCCCCCAGTCCCCCCCCTTACCGCCCCACCCCCCCCCCCCCCCCCGCTCCATCCAGACCAGAGCTCCCCTGGACGACCAACTCGCGGAGCCACACAGACACAAGGATGATGGGTATTGTGGTCCCGAGTCTCTTGAAAGGGCCGGTTCCAGGAACTCCAGATACCAAGGGGGGAGTCTCCCACCGACCCCCCCAAAAAAAGACTCCCCAAAGCCGCCTCGCTCCAGAGCGCCTGGACGACCAACTTGCGCAGCCACACACACACACAACTGATGATGGGTATTGTGGTCCCGAGTCTCTGGAAAGGGGCGGTTCCGGGAACTCCAGCTACCAAGGGGGGAGTCTCCCACCCCCACCCCGCCAAAAAAAAGATTCCCCAAAGCTTGGACAACCAACTCACGCAGCCACACACACACAACGATGATGGGTATTGTGGTCCCTAGTCTCTGGAAAGGGCCGGTCCGGGGAGCTCTCCCACCCATCAAAAAAAGACTCCCCAAAGCCGGCTCGCTCCAAAGCGCCTAGACGACCAACTCGCGCAGCCACACATACACAAGGATGATGGGTATTGTGGTCCCGAGTCTCTGGAAAGGGCCGGGTTCCGAGAACTCCAGGTACCGAGGGGGGAGTCTCCCACCGACCCCCCCAAAAAAGACTCCCCAAAGCCGGGTCGCTCCAGAGCGCCTAGACGACCAACTCGCGCAGCCACACACACACACACACAACTGATGATGGGTATTGTGGTCCCGAGTCTCTGGATAGGGCCGGTCCCGGGAACTCCAGATACCAAGGAGAGAATCTCCCACCGATCCCCCCAAAAAAGACTCCCCAAAACCGGCTCGTTCCAGATCGCCTGGACGACCAACTCATGCAGCCACACACACACACACACACACACACACAAGGATGATGGGTATTGTGGTCCCGAGTCTCTGGAAAGGGCCGGTTCCGGGAACTCCAGCTACCGAGGAGGGGAATCTCCCGCCCCCAAAAAAAGACTCCCCAAAGCTTGGACGACCAACTCACGCAGCCACACACACACAACGATGATGGGTATTGTGGTCCCGAGTCCCTGGAAAGGGCCGGTCCCAGGAACTTCAGATACCAAGGGGGGTGGGGGAGTCCCAAAGCCAGAAAGTAACAGTAACAAGAGTTGGAAGGGACTTCGGAGGTCATCTAGTCCAACCCCTTGCTCACGCAGGAGACCTGTAGTAGGGATTCGAACCACCAGCTCGAGATCTGGGGAATCAAGTTGGATCAAACCCCCACCCCACCCTCGATAGAGCTCCGGGCGCGGGTATCGCAAGAAAACGGTGCGCCTTTGCTCTCTCTCTCTTTCTCTCTAATCGACGGCTGGGGAGGGGGAAAAACGATCAGGATCCGGCCAAGCGATCAACGATCAGGATCCGGCCAAGCGATCCACCCAGATCCCTTTTGCAACCCCGACGGCCTTGGGGAGCGACGGATTTACAACGCTCATCCCTCCACCTCCACCCTTCGATCCCTTCCCAGGGAGATCGCTCCCCACCAACTCACCGGGCAGTTCGAGCAGCGATTGGAACTCCCAGCAGTTGTAGACGCCGGTGGAGTCGGTGGCGCAACTCTGCCACAGGTTCTCGAAGATGGTAGAGGTGGTGATGACGTTGCCCGAGACGCTAGAGACCCTCCAGTAGCTGTTGAAGAGGGTGACGGCCAGCAGGGCCCAGCCGACGACGCTCAGGAAGAAACCCACCGTCTCCAACAGGAGCGACATCGTTGGCGGCCGCGAGAGCGGAGGGCGAAAGTTTTGCAAGCGATTAGCGCGAAGCCCAGCGCTGAGCTGCTGCTGCTTGCTGCTGCTGCCGCCGCGGGAGGCGCGTCCGAGGCTTCCTCGGGACTCGAACGAGCAGGTAAGGGCGAGAGGGGGGGATGACGTCACCGGCCCGGCCCGAAGTCCACCTTCTAAAGCGGGAATGGGCAGGTTGCTTTTTTTTTTTTTTTTTTTTGAAGGTTTTTTTTTTTTTGAAAGGCTTTTTTTTTTTTTAAGTTTTTTTTTTTTTTTTTTACAAAAAAGCGCCCTTCTCTCCCCGACTGCCAAAGCTCGCCACAGCGATTGCCTGACTTACAGTAACGGAGTTGGAAGGGACTTTGGAAGTCATCTAGTCCAACCCCCCTGGCTCACGCAGGAGATCTGTGCTAGGGATTCGAACCACCGACCTTTTTCGATCGGCAAGCTCAAGCGTCTTAGCTACCGCGAGCCCCGGCTAAGGTGACTCTGTGGCTAAAACGCTGAGCTTGTCGATCCGGAAAGATTTCGGGTGGTTCGAATCCCTGGGACGTGTCTCCTGTGTCAGCGGAGGGTGGACTAGATGACCTCCAAAAGTCCCTTCCAACTCTGTTACTGTTAAAGCTTGCAAGTGAAAGAGCAGAGGAGGGAGAGGAGGGGAGGTCCTGCAGAGGCGCTTGCTCTTGCCGTGGATGATGGGGCGAGGTGGGTCCAACAGCTTGAATTGGGGGTGGGTGCTGTCCTCCTGGCTTTGCCGGTGGCCATCCTACTTTGGGACGGAGGTGGGGGCGTGGGAAGGCGGAGTTCACCCTTTGACGCAGAGCGTCAAAGAATAGAATCAGGGTGGATAAAAATTAAAATGATTTTTTTAAAAAAATAAAAAAAAATCAGATTTTTTTGATTAAAATCGGATTTTTTTTTATTTTTATCGAATTTATTTTAATAAAAAACTTTGGGGGTAAAAATCTATGGTAAGATAGTTTTCTATTTAAGATACAGAAATAATTTAGTTTATTCAGCATGAAACGGAGCTTAGTTATGTAGCATGAGGCTGTATATTCTGCAACCCTGGGACTATCGGTGAGTCAACAGTGGGTCAAAGGAGTAGCAGAGATGACAGTTGCTCTTTAAAAATTATGATTTAAATCGAGTTGATTTAAATCAAGCCTTTTTTACTAGTGATTTAAATCA